ATTACCCAGAGAAGCTTTGCTTATCAGCTCTGTCGCCATATGGACGGAGTGGAAATCTGCATTTATATCGACGCCCCTTCAATGTGCAGTTCCGTGCATCATATTAAACACAGATCTATTGTTTATCAGTAAATAACGAAGCAAGTACATACTGCTTCAACTTTTTTGATATCTTCATCGTCGGCAACATTTGAAGAATGATGACAAACATTCTAAAGTAGAGGATGTTTGCCTAAGTCTACGAGGGAAAAAAATTTCTTGATTGCTTTTGAAAAGATAACTCATTTAATATAATCTTAAAAGACGAATTGAAGGCTTTCCCGACATTGAAAAATAGCTACACCCACGCTCCCGTCCACCATAGTTTGCTTGTATTACAAATCATCCAAACCCACTCAATACTATTTTACTTACCAAAAAAGGCTTTAAGACTATCAGAGCTTCTATTCAAGATTTATGGATAGCCTCGAAACCTACTTTCTACAAATATAAGTAACGTAGTAGATTTTAATGGCGGAATATAATTTTGCCTGATCGAAAATCTCTCTATTGATGTGATATGGGAGGGGCCTGGCTTGCTTTGAAAGTCATGTTTGCTCCATGTAGCACTGACATCCGTGGCAGTGTAGCGTAGTGGCAAAATGTCGAAATTATACATAGCACTATCTGAGTTAGGTACTTTCTGGTGGTGCTGGTGAGAATCATGTACTACACCTAGTTTAGAGGAGCTTATAGCAAATAAATATAATTAAATTTCACTTTAATTATCATATTTATATTTATATCATTGAGGGAAAACATAACTAAACGATTTTGGGGTAGCTTTAACTATTGTTCATAGTGCTCTTGCCTTCGTCCACTCTTAATATTTAGCAAATTAAATGTAAATGTTGTAAGAATTAACTTGTTTATTTTATTTTTTGCATTTAATTATTGTTTCAAGACTACCAGTGCATGAGTAATATGAGATTTATTAGGTTAGGCTTTGATTCTAAGCTGAAAGCACAGGGCCCCAAATTGTTTTAAAATCAGAAAGTGTCAGAAAATCCATCAGGGTCATGGAGTTGTAGATGTAAATACTGAAGATGCTCTTGTTTTATGCACAGAACTCCTACTTTTTTCTTGAAGGTGAAATTCTACGAATCCCTTGTTTATTCCCCTCCAATCATTTTTTCATTCAGCCCAGTTGAAGAATTGAGGAGTCTGAATGACGTATTTTTCTGTATAATATTCCGTTTGCGAACAAGTCGAATATATTTCCCCGAAATGCACCCCCTAAACGTTTTTACAGACCAACCTATACCCATTCGGATACAGATATTTGTTTCCCGCTTGCTCTTGCCGCCATCATCATTATTTCATACATAATATTGATTTTTTTAATGTTGCACTACTACATCTGATATTGACAGATTTTTTATGAGATGGCTTAAAATATTCTTATGCTATGTGGACTTTGACGGTTTTCATAAGCCTATACTATTTTCTATTTTTATGCTACTTTCACCTCGCTACTCGTCTGTCCAGGTACAGGTGTTTGGTGATACACATGGCAACTATGTTTATCTGTGGGAGCGTGACTGTTCCATCCAACGTCGTCACCAGAAGATTATAGAGGAGGCTCCCGCACCAGGACTCACTTGGGAGACACGGAAGGCAATTGGCGAAGCTGCCGTCCGCGCTGCCGGCGCCGTCAAATATACAGGCGCCGGGACTGTCGAGTTTGTCATGGATTCTATGCAAAAGTTTTTTTTCATGGAGATGAATACCCGACTACAGGTTGGTTAAATAACCAATCTGGCAGGGGTTCGTTGTTTGAGTCTTATCTATCTGCCAGGTCTCCTTCAATCACGATTTTTTGCATGTAAAAGTTTGGTTCTTAAGCCAGATAAAGGCTGGATAGCTAAATAAAGGGCTTGATATAATCACATTTTTTTACACTTGCCAACTTTATTGAGCAATCTAGTTCCAGTTACTTTGAAATCTATCATTTTTGGTTTTTGTGCCAAATGATTGAGGCATGTTACTTGATTGTCCTTATCCGGTTCTGAATGTGCCTCTTGTATTTGATTCACTATTTTTTTCTGTTCAGAACCCACCACTTCCACACGGAGCCATCCTGATAGCTTATGTTAGCAGTATCAATAAATTTAGAAAAATGTTTACAACATGGACCAGGAGATTGGTAGATTGGGGCATATATTGCTTCAGAACAATTACCCATTAGGATTAGTAGGCAATTATATATCAATTGTCGTTAATGAGATGAGGGAAGTCTGTTATTTTGGACGGAATAGACAATTTGACCATTCTACTCGTTTCTTGAATCATCATTACGGCGTCGTACACTAGTTTATTTGTGTAAGGAAACACCTTTCACGGTTCGGGAAGTAACTTCACTCATTTGTAGGCATGTAGAGTAAGATTGAAGTAGCCAATCAGGTGGATAAAAAGCGACTACGGTTTCAGCCGGCCACTTTTTCTCTTGGTTTATATATTTTCGCTTTATCTCGTAAAGTATGGAATCTTGCTCTGATGATGTCTGTCACGGTGGTACAGACGAAATCTTTGCACAGTTTCATCGGGCTCACAGGACAGTGAGCCTAGGACCTCTTCGCACAATACGACAGTCTTCTATAAGCCGCAATCCTCCTTCGGTTTCCGGTGAGACCACATCACCAATTCCTTCGAAATGGCGAGTCATGCCACAATATGAATATGTGCGTCTAATAAATAAGCACACTCCTACATCATTTCTGAATGACTGCTAACATTTATTGCTTCTTAGTTCGCCAAGGGCAGGAATTTAGATCGAAATATTATTTGTCTTGGCCCTTGATTCGCTTTGCATTTCTGCAATTTTACATAAGACATCTTTGTATCTGCGAAAGCATTTTATTGAAAATATAATGCTCATAAATACTCTTGTTTGGACTAAGTAGATGGTCGCTTATAATAGTCAGGATCTTGAGGGAATTACGAATACAAAGCATGCAAATGAAGGAAATTTTAATGGCCTAACTCCACATATATACTTCTGTGAGCCATAATTTACGGATTAAATAATGATAAAAGCAGTCTATTGAGACAAGAAAGTATCATGTTCAATATTCGATGTCCTTAGATGAGGCTAATTAATGCAATGAGAAAGGATTGGGACGGTTTTTTACATTTCAAGTGATGTGAGCTGCATTCTTTCGTAGATACGAAGAGAAACTTGGTTTTGATTAACCTCCAGAGATAACATTGTTAGAAGGACCTTCATTTCAGATTTGCTGGTCGATCTCACCAGATGAGGAAGGGTGAAACTTGTTGTACTGGAGCCGTTTGGCTTTTATACGATATTCATGTTGACGCAGTCCACGAGACTTCCTTCCTCGTTTCGGGTGAAAACGTGCTGACTTTTCGTCCATCATATGATGAACATCATCAGAGCTGGGTATCATTCTTGCAAGAGTCTCACGTTAACGCTAGGCCAAGAAGACTATCCGGCTCTTATATAGACTCAGTTAAGCCAAAAGAAAATTAAAAATTAAAAACCTAGATGGATATAGAATGGTTTGGCTAATTATCTTTTATACTTATCCTGCTACTTTTGCTCGAGTGTGTGCGTGTATGTTTTAGCGTCTATATGCAATACCGGTCCTAAATCAGAGTTATCAAAAAGTAAATGTTTGGCTCTGGTCATCAAGGCCTAATGACCTCAAAGAAAGCCATGACTGCATAAGTCCGTAAGCAAGTATGATTGAGAAGTGAGCTTGTAAGCATGTAAGTCGAGTTACGAAACCACTTGTCCTAACCTCTCAGTCTAGAGTCATTAACGTTCAAACCCATTCGAAAAGGCAAGACTGGGGCTGCGTAATCTGACACGTCTGGTTTGGTTGATGAGCTTAATCTAACATGTTGGACGAATTTGAGTGAAGTTAGAACCATCAACAAGCAGAAAAATTGACGGCGGCTCAACACCCTCTCTCTTAATCTATCAATAAAGTATAAGTAATTCCTACTTAACTTTTTACCTCCGTTCCTCACATTCAACGTATTTCTTAAGCTATTTATTTTAATAGCCTATCTTATCTTTCTTTTAACCAAGGACGTAGCATAATCAGCAAACCTACTAGTTTGAGTCCAGTTTATTTCATGTCCAGTAGAAATTGTCCAGATTTTTAATTTTCTTTTGGCTTAACTGAGTCTATATAAGAGGTAAGAAAAAGCCGGATAGTCTTCTTGGCCTAGTGTTAACGTGAGACTTTTACAAGAATGACACCCAGCTCTAATGATGACCATTATTTGATGGACGAAAGATTAGCACGTTTTCACCCTAAACAAGGGAGGAAGTCTCGTGGACTACGTCAATATGAATATCCTATTAAAACCAAAGGGCTGCAGTACGAGATTCATTTGTCCTCATCTGGTGAGATCGACCAACGAATCTCTTCTTCATGCTTTTTCATCCGAAATGAAGGTCCCTCTAACAATTATATCTCAGAGGATTCATCAAAACCAACTTTCTCTTCGTATCTGGCATAACATTGTTGTGGATTCTCAATTCATATTAATGCGCTTAATGAATAGGACAGTTTCACCGTTAGGCAAATTTGGATTTCCGTTGCCCTATAGCCACATAATATTACCACAAATTTCAGTTATCAGTCATCGAGGCATTTGCCTACAATTCTGGTGATAACGAACTGAGATTCAGTTTGTCATTCATATGCATCTGGTAAATACTTGAGTAGCTTGTATTGTAGAGATGATTCCAGTTTATTACTGTATCTCCCCGCTTTTTTATATTTCATTGGCAGGATAGACTACTTTTTTTACTGATTTTGAAATGAAACGGTGTTTGTTGTTGCTTTTGCAAGAGTAGATTAGTGCAAGATGTAAGTCAACCAAATTTAAATCATTTTTAATTAAAATTGTATCCTACTTTTGAACGTCCAAATTTTGTAGAAATTCGACTTTAATTGATATGCTATATTTGTGGACAGACAGTCCTCTCGTCTGTCTCTATCATTTCTGTAGTCATAGTTAATCGGCTTGGCTAAGTTAATCATTTTGAAGATATGAAGACCAAGATGTTGTGGCCTCTGTTAGGGTCGCAGTCTCATTTCGATTGATAGAAGTGGGTTGACCTCGTTGTCGCAACTTGGTCTTGTGTTCAGGGAGGCTATGTAGAATGCAACAAGTCCGAAGTCGTCTGCCATACTCGTTGTCTTGATTCCCAGCATCTGACAGTGGAGTTGATATATTCTCAAACGTTTCGCCGGCATCGTAGTCGGCATCATCAGTGAGGTTTGCCACTCTCCGCACCAAGATACGAACGCGTCAGAGAGAAGTAAAGTCAATACCTCGACAACCTTTCTGCTGGAAACGGTTACACTATCATTTCTCTTTCTGTCCTGGTCTATCTATCTACTCTTTACCCTCTTATCCCACTGCCGCCCTATCACAACTTTTCCCTTGTTTAAATTCCAATCATCAAAATGTGTGCCGTTTTGTGGCAAACCGAGTGTGGCCTCATCACACCTGCTATCTACCCCGACCCCTCTCTTTCGATGGGCTTATCCCACTTGGGCCTCCAATCCGGATTCTATCATTGTCTCGTTGATCCGTTGCTTATCTTTCTAGTTGACCCATTTCACTCGGGTCCAGGCCCTGTGGGCATTTCACTCACAGGCGCTATTTCTCCAGGCTCTAGAAACACATACACCACCGCTTCACTGAGCGAAGCGCTTAAGCTCTGATTGCCATGCTTGTAGATATCAGGCCTTCACTACACTGGTCGTCCCCTTGACTAAACACATGTTATCTGAGTAAGAATGTTCCCGCCTATCTCTGGTCGCATGCGGCATCCCAAGTGGATTTCTAGTGCATTTGGGCCAGAAACCCTAATTTCTATGACGGTGTGCTTATCCGTCGGCCCCGTGCCCTACCTGCCAGGCCCCCAAAGTTGCACTGGTTTATTCAAATGGTCATCACCCACTGACAACGTATTCGCTTAATGGTCGAATACCCCCGCCCCCCATCTATGTGGAATCGATGTGTACAAATATCTTTGGAGAAAATGCACTAACGGCCCTCCTGAAATCCTGGACCGAGAAGAGGATATCATGGAATCACAACGGATT